GAATTGGGTTGAAGAAGGGAGCGCGTAAGGTGAAGAAGCAGAACGTGGCCGGAAGGTGCCGTGACGTTTCTGATTCTGTTCACAGCAGTTTTTTCATTTTTATTTATTTTTTTAAATATTTATTGGATTATTTAGTGTCAAAGCGCGTGGCTACCAAAATAATTAGTGGGATTTATTATGTAATTAATATTGTTATAATTCTTATTAAACACACTTTACAGGCTTGACTTGAATATAATGGAAACTAACCTGAAAATTCATCATATCTTTGTAAACAATTTTCCAATTAATTAATTAATTATTTTTTTTTAAAAAAAAAAATTGTAAATATGGTTTTTTATAATTAAATGATAGGTATAATTGATTTTTAAATGTTGCACATTTTTAGCCTGTTAAATAATTAAAATTTTAGGAAAGATTTTGTATTTATTTAATTAGTGAATTTAAATAATCCCTGAATTAGATAATTTATGGATTAACTAACAAGCTTAGTATTTTTTCTTCTACAATTTTTTGATGTATTATACAATAATATTATAATTAATTCGTAAAAATTTATTCTAATTTTTTTTAGAATTTAAATTGTATTATTCTAAGTACGTATTATCATTTTATTTAACAATATTCTCTGAGATTAATTAAATAATTGAGATTTATAAATTTTCAATTCCTTCGTAAGGAATGGTGATTGCTAATAATGAGCCATGATCATAATGGTAAAAAAAATTACAATATTTCCACGAAAAAAAAAAAAAAAAATTGAATAGGTTGATTAGTCAATGTTTCTAGTACTCTACCTTGGTCAAGTTCGTCTACAACTTCCTTTAAATCGTGTGGAAAAATATATATTTGTAAATGTAATAGCAACTATAAGTAACGTGTTGATAATTAATGACTAATAATTAATTCATATATTGGTCGCATTTGGTCAAAAATCACACGAAAATAGTTTACTTTTGAACCTAAAATTTGGTTAGTTTACTTAACAATTTTTCAACATATTGTCTTTATTCTTAGAAAAATACTCATAAAAATTTAAGTAAATTCCTATAACAAAAGCTTTTATATTTAAAAACCATATATTGTAGCCTAAAATTAACATAATTAAAATCTGTTTTTTTTAATTTGTTTTATTGTAGTCAAATTACATTTATATATATATATATATATATATATATATATAATAATAATAAAAGACTTTTAAGTTAAGTCTGACCACCAAGAAAATTAAAAATATATAAATAAATAAAAAGGTTAGCTAGTAGTTCAGAGAGAAAGATCTCAGCACATAATTTGGAAAATACACAGAATTTACAAAAATAAATAAACTAAGTTTAAAGTTTATTATTATTAATTAAAAAATAAAATAAAAATAAAATAAAATAAAGTTTGGAGTTGATTTGATGTAATTGTAAAGGAAGTTTCTTAGTAATGAATATGTGGTTTGAGAATTTCAAACTCTTCTGCCACCCCAACATTTCTGGAATCTTTCCCTTTTTTTTTTTTGTTCAATTCTTTATTATTAATGGTCATCATTTTTTAAATAACATTTTCTTAAATTAACATTTATATTAATTAAATCTTAAATTTACGTCGTGGATAAAATATTTCTTTGTCTACACGTTAGAAAATTTTATAATTATATTGGTTTCTTCAACGATTGCTAAACGACGAATCCTCGTAGACATGAGCTCATATGATTATCTTGTGAAATATTAATCTTTTTAATTAATAAATTTATAAAAATATATTAAATATTTTGTGACGTCTTTCGGGTAATTATTACAAAATAGGCACCCAACCTTATATATATATACCTTTTAGATTATTGATTATATATAATATTTAATTGGAAAAAAAAGAATTATTTAAATCGTCACCAAAGAATGTTGGTGGTATTACATTTATTTCCCATTTAAAATAAGAAAATTTGAAATTAAAAAAGAAAAAAAGTTTGGCAGAGATAGTTATTGGGTTGAATTGGGCTGGCAATTACTTTCAATCATATATGGGCTTTTCATCGCTTGCCCACAGTCAAGCCCAGTCAACGGCCCATTTATCGACCGTGACCAAAAACCGAAAATTGTAAAAAGCTCCTCAATTCCATTCGTATTATCTTTAAGCTAATTTCACGATGACCCACAACTATTTTTTAATTTTGTAATTTTACCTCATAATATCCTGAATCAAATGGTAATAATAATAATAATAATAATAATAAAAACCATATTCTAATTTTTTATAAATAAAGGGGTGAAAAGCAATTAAATCTTCGAACCGGTCCATTATAGAGCAATGTATAGTTAAAGCGAGACATTATAGTAAAAAAAATATTTAATTAAAAGATGGTTACAAGTTTCTAGATAGGAAAAGAAAAACCCACTAAAACCAAAGTTTGAGATTTAATTAAATTAATGATGTCTCCATTATAATATGATTTGATCATCAACCAATATACCTAATGAAAATAAAATTCAAATCTTGTTTTATTGTGCATCATATGCATATAGATATAATACATTACCTTATCTCTTCACATAGTTTTAATTATCTTATAAATTTAATATTTTATTTATCATACAAATCATTGCCCATTTATGCTTATGTAAAATCATGTGACGTGGCATAACTAGTAAATTCATCTAATTTAAATAAATTTAATGATTTATTTAATGCAAATTGACTCGTAGTAATACGAAGATAACAAACAACTCTATTTTATATCTTATTGGTTAGACCAGATTATTATAGTAGCCCAAGCCTAACGTTAGCAAATATTGTTTATTTTAATTCATTATGTATTGCCATCAGCCATAACAATTATAATAATAAATCTGAAAAATCAATTTTTAATTTTAAGCGAATTAAGGTTAAAAGAATTCATATTGACGTTGGTTAATGCAAGAATATAGATGACAATGTCAAGAAAGTATTTATATTTAATTTATTTGGGAGAATATATATTTAGATTATAAAGTAAAGTAAATCAGAGGGAATAAACTATAATAACCAAAAACAAAAATATTTATATTTAATATTTTTTTATAAGTGAGCTTTATGAAAATATTAAGAGTAATATTATAATTTTGTAGAAAATAAAAAATAATAATTATAATTTTGAAGATCGACTTTTTAAAATGTTTTTATGAATTAGACAACCTCTCGATTAACGAATCCAAAAAGTTACTCGAATCAAATGAAAATAATAATAATAATAATAATAATAATAATAATAATAATAAATGGGGAAGGTTGAAAGTGGTGATTTCCACGTCACAAGTGGTTTATCTCTTCTTTTTTTGGAAAAAAAATGTTGGCACTTAAAAGGTCATAGAATGGAAGAATTGAAGGGGGAGGGTGGACAAAAAAGGCAATATAATATTTATAGCCACCCACATTATTAGTTTATTATTATTATTTTATTTTATTTTCTTACAAATAATATTAAATTTTTATTGGCCCTTTCGCTTGTATTTGAATTTTGGTGATACCATATTCCTCTTCCACCTTATCATATGTTTTCGTAGTGCTGTCATCTCATTTTACCAACCCAAACTCTCTTTTATTTATTTTTTCGATTTCCTTTTTACACCAACACGGTATCTGCTTAGCTTCACCTTCACGGTTTTAAACCACGTTTGTTGTTAGGGTGAGATTTCCACACCCTTATAAGAAATGTTTCGTTCTCCTTTCCAATTGATATGCAACCTTGGAGCCAACATCCTTACTTGTACATCGCCCGATGTCGGGCTTTGATACCATTTGTAACGGCCTAAGCCCACCGCTAACAATATATTGTCTACGGTTCTAACTGCTAGGGAGAGGTTTCCACACCCTTATAAATGAATGTTTCGTTCTTCTCTCCAATCGATATGAGATTTCACAATCCATCTCTGTTGGGAGCCAACGTCCACATTGGCACACCACCCAATATCTTGCTTTGATACCATTTATAACAACTCAAGTCAACTGCTAACAAATATTGTCTATGATTTTAATGGATAGGAAGAGGTTTCCACACCCTTAGCTTTGTTCCTCTCTCCAACTCATGTAGGATCTGACAGGTTAATATATATATATAAATTAAAGTTGTTGTTAGTACTATAGTTGAAATGGTGGGATGCTTCATTTTGTGGTTGGATTGACAAGATTGAGATGGAGTTAATATGATAAGATAAGGGTATGGATAGGATTTTTGGGTGAAATCAATGTCTTATTTTTAATGGGGTTTCGATTGAATTCTACCATTTCCCCCACTTTTTGTGAGTACCCTATAATTTCATCTACGTTTTTTTAATCCTTCAACAAAATAAACCTAACTATAAAATTACTAAGAACAGGGCTGCAAATTTTGATTTGGAGCTAACATGATTTGCAGGCATCTTCTTGGGCAGCTTGTTTGATCAAATCTCGCTACAAATTGGGTTCCTAGTCTCCTTTCATGCTGTTGTTGGTGGAATTTAGATGATGTCTTTTCGAATTACAAATGATTTTGACACGCATTTTCAGAAAGGGATGCCACTGACCAGCTTCTAACTTTCTTCTACTGCAGACACTAACATTTTCCACATTGGAACTCTCTGGGGCATTTTGTCGAACACTTTGCCTGCCTTCCTTCCTCTTCCCCCAGTTGTCCCAATCACCACATTATTTGAAATTCCAACAGATCCCGACGTGGGATTTCATAATTTTTTATCAACCAAAATCCCCATAGTGCGGTTTGTTGAAAACGATTAAAATATGTATATACAATACACTAAAGACAGGAAGAGTTCATCGACCCTTGGGTTTAAAGGAGGAGGCGTTTTTGAAAGCTACATCGACATATCAATCGCCAGCATTGATTATTTTGGCGATAATGGCTTACATCATATGCACAAGGTTGCTTATCACTAAAACCCACCCCCAATGGAGGCCCTGGCCCTGCCACTACATCACTTGGTTAGTATTTGGCTGCTATAAATATTGGTAGAATCCATTAAAATCTCCATGAGTTGGTGAGAGAAGAAAAATGGAAGAGGGACAGGGAATCAGAAAGGGTCCATGGACAGAGCAAGAGGACATCCAACTGATTTGCTTTGTGGGCTTGTTTGGCGATCGAAGATGGGATTTCATTGCCAAAGTTTCAGGTTTGAAGGTGGCGGGAGACAGTTCCTAGGTAGGCTAAACTCATGATTGGTTGTTCTTATGAAAGCCTCTGTTTTAACTCCTCTTTGGGGATTTGGGATTTGGGATTTGGGTTTGGATTTGTAGGACTGAACAGAACAGGCAAAAGTTGCAGGCTGAGATGGGTTAATTACCTTCATCCTGGTCTCAAAAGAGGCAAGATGAGTACTCAAGAAGAACGACTCGTGCTTGAACTTCACGCCAAATGGGGAAACAGGTCTACAAAACACCATACCCTTTCACTCCCCTTCCTTATTCTTTATCTCTTATCACTTTTGTTCATTTCAGATGGTCCAAGATTGCTCGCAAATTACCAGGCCGCACAGATAACGAAATCAAGAACTACTGGAGAACCCACATGAGGAAGAAGGCACAGGAGAAGAGAAGGGCTTTGTGTTCTTCATCTTCCTCCTCCTCCTCTTCTTCTTGTTCTTCTTCTTCTGGACCAGTGAAGTTCTTTGACTCAGGGGGGTCTGAAATCTCGGCTTCATCATCAACCAAGAAGAAGGGGGAGGAAAATCAAGGAGTGGGTGACCCAAATGGATACTCAATGGATGATATATGGAAAGATATTGATATGTGCGATGATCATGAGGGGTTGATTATAAACCAAGACAGCAACTATTCTTGCCCTGCTTTGAATCCTCCTTCATGGGAGTATTACTGTGGGGATTCTTCGTGGAAGATGGAGGAGGAAGAGAGTAAGCTAATTTTCTCTGGGTATGATGATCATAACGGGAGGCCACGCCTTGCTCAAGCTAATCAGAATTTTTTCTATTGAATTTTGTGTATATGTAGTTGTTGTCGTCTAAGTTCTTGTGATGTAGTTCTCTAATGCATATTGTAAGGAGTTTATGTTTAGCTGTGTTTTTGTTGAACAGTTTGTTCGCACAAGAAAATAATGGATTTATATCCATTTCCTTCTTGTTGGCTGTGATGATCTTAGGTGTTTTAATGGCTGCTTGTTTAAATCTTCTCCGGATAAGCAATGAAATTAACAACAGACAAACGGGGAGATTAGTCCAAGTTTAAATACAGAGAGTCCCTAAAACTTTCAAAAGTTCAAAATTATTTATTTATTAACCGAGTCTAAATTATATCTTCTTAGTAGTAGAGTTCCATTAACGTTATCGATTCAATCCTATCCTTTAAATTACAAATGATAATTATAATTTAATTCTCGTGATTTTAAAATTTTGATTTGGTCTACATGATTTTATTTTTATTTTAAGATTTTTGCATATGATAAGCACGATTTTTGTATCTAACCTTTTCAAATATAAAGATCAAACCTCACCTAATCTTCAAATGGAGAAGTAAGAGAGAGGATAGGGAATGACTTACAATTTTCACGAAATTTTGATAAGTGGAAGAGCATATTCAACAGTATGATACACTTGATGCCCTTCCAAAAGCCATCCCTCCTACAATTTGTCAAAAGAAAAATAATTATGATACAATGGCAAATAGTATCCTATCATCCTTCTCAAATTTATTAAATAGAAAAAAAATATTAATTGATGTTGTGAGTTAATTTTTATCCTTTTTTCTTATATATATATATATATATAACCCATCAATGTGGACATCGAGTTGTGAGATCGTTTATCGATAGGAGAGGGGAACGAAACATTCATTATAAGGATGTGGAAACATCTCTTTAGTAGACGCATTTTAAAATTATGAGGCTATAGGTCATACGTAATGGGTCAAGTCGGACAAAAACTGCTAGCAGTGGACTTGGGCTGTTACAAAATGACATGAGAGCCCGACACTGTGGTGTGCCAACAAGGACGCTGGTCCCTAAGAGAGGTGAATTGTGAGATCCCATATCGGTTGGAAAGGGAAACGAACTTTCTTATAAGGGTTTGGAAATCTCTCCCTAGTAAACGTGTGTTAAAATCGTGAGACTGACAACCATGCGTAATGGACAAAATGGACAATATCTACTAACGGTGAACTTTGACTTTTACACGAACATTGCTACGTCTTACAAAGCCTTGCTAGCTCTATAGATGGGTTGACTATAGCCTTAGCTCACCAAAAAGCCACTTATAATCAAACTCTGATCTTTCCCCACTCGATTAGCCACCAACGAGATTGGTGTCGTCAATCGAACATTCAAGGAGGACCTAGAAGTCATCCATGTGAAAAATGTTAATGCAACACAAGAACGATAGCAAACACTAGTAGCCCTCAATGGAGCATTGGGTCAGCGTATCCAATTTTGGTGAATAAAATTGATTCCCTATGTAACCTTATGCTCAACGTGTCTTACAGTTTACGGTATATATCTCCTTTTGGGCCACAATAGTTTGCCACACTTTGATGCTTGACGCAATTGGTGCAGGATGTGATAGTAATCACTTCTACAAGAGCCGATGATTCTCAGCCACATTCATAAGGGGGAGAACAAGTTGGGGCTGGGATTTCCATCGGGCAAGAGAGAGATAGAGAGAGAGTACCTCTGGGCAGCCCATGCGCCAGAATAGGGCAGAGGCAAACACATAAATGAGTACTCAGACAGACCTTCACGCCCTCCAGAGCACAACGGGGAAACGGGCGGCTGGGTTTTACCGTCGGATGAATCCTACGCAACAAAATTTTATATCATTCAATTCTGTTACCCATCGGATAAAATTTTACCCAAATCTCATGATGAACGTCTCGTAAAAATGCCTAGACTTTAACGTGCTTTGTTACGCCATTGGATGAATAAATGAATGAATAAATGAATGAATGAATAATCACCCAGAAAGTCTGGGAATTTATCGACTTTCTAGTCCAGAAATTATCAAAACAAAACCCACATTAATTCCAACTCAAATCCTCCATTGAAATTCATCGACTTTCTATTTCTATTTCCATTTCCATTTGACGGAGGTTACTGTTCAAGCTGCCGACAACAGAATGTCTCGCCTATCCAACTTCTATCTGCTAACTTACAACTCCGTCCAAGCTTTTGGCTGGTATGTTTCATTTTTCTCGCCTTATCTTTTAATTTTTTTTTGTCGCCATGGATCTGTGTTTCTTGTTGGCAGGACGATTTCTCTTTACAGACTTCTAGACAATTTTGTAGCCACCAAATCTACTAGTGGTGCTTACTCTTCTGTGGGAGAACTTATCTGTAAGTTTCAACCCATTTGTTTGGTTCCTTGAAAAGTTCGTAGAATCTGATAGAAAATGTTGAAAGCTTTCCTTTTTCTTCAAAGGTTTCCTGCAGACTGCTGCATTCTTGGAAATTATTCATGGAGCTATTGGTAATTTAAACGAACTTTGGTATCATTCTCTTGTTTGGTATCTAAATTTTGATAAGGTAGTGTTTTCCCCTTTAAATTTCAGGCCTGGTACCAACTGGAGTGTTGCTTCCTCTAATGCAATGGGGCGGGAGGGTTCATTTTCTGGTTGCAGTTGTTCGTCAACTTCATGAGGTTTTCTCTCCTCATTTTGTTGCATTTTTTTATCCTAGAAAGACGCAGTTTCTTGTTGGAGTTCTTCATAATTCTTTCTTTTTGTTTGACAGGTTCAACAGTTGCCTTCTGTTTTCATCACTTTCCTGGCTTGGAGCTTATCTGAGGTAAATTCTTTCCTTTTTCCTTCAAGATTTGTTTTCCAATTGGGTTTCTGGATTTTTACTGTGATGAAATGGATTCAGGTCATCAGATATTCTCATCATGCTTTGAATTGCTTGGGAGTTGGCCTATTTTGGCTTACATATCTTAGGTACTGCCGGAATGTTCTTCCAAAGTTCTTCATGTACTCAAAATTAGAAAAATACTTATAATTCTTAAATTTGTGTTATTGTTTCTTCTAGGTACACCGCCTTCATAATTCTCTATCCAATTGGAGTGACAATTGGTGAAAGTGAGTACACAATATTCAATTTATCTTGATTTCTATAACTTGATATCCAAGGGAGTGCTTAGTTCACAGGTTGGGTTGTACAGTCTAGTGTTTGTGGAGCTGGGCAAAGGTGTGCTATCTTTTCTACTAGCTATATAACCCAAACTTCTTAAATACAATCAGAAACCATATATTTTTAGATATCACAAGCCAAGGAACGAAATATATGCTACACTAAACCTTGGTTTCTAGATTTTATTCCTCTATGCAATCTAAATACCGGTACATAACCCGAGCTTCCCGTACTTATCGAAACCATGAGCTGAACATCCCCTCTTCTCATTACCAAGATTATGTTTTTACTTGTATAGTTTACTGTGAGTGATTCACAGAACAAAAACTAATGTTCTATTTTATCAAGGAAAAGTTCATGGGTAAACTTATTAGAAGCATTTGTGCAGTGTGGCTCATGTACCAAGCAATTCCTTTTATGATAAAGAACAACCTCTATGCAGATGCCTTCAGTTACCTTCCCTTCAGCTATTACAATGCCATCAAGGTATGTTCAAACACTCGGGAGATCATTCTAGGAAATTATTCTTTTTACCTGAAAATGAGACCACTCCAGATGTAAAACTTATCCTCAAATCTAATATCGTTGTTCAGGTTCTGCTTTTCGTGTACCCATTATTTTTCTTGAAACTATACCTACATCTGTTCAAGCAAAGGAAATCAAAATTGGGTAAGCAGCACAAGAAGAAGAGAAACTGAAGGTTAGTCCAATCTGGTATAATCTCCGGTAGACAACTTATTCTTAGAAGTTTCGTAGAGTAATATTTATCTGAAAGTCCTGTTCACTGATCCTCCTGGCCTGAGCTCTCAGTAACGAAGAAATATTTTCTATCTCTATAAAGTGAATATCCCGACTCTCTAAGATTTGCTTAATCTCGAGATTCTAAAGTCTATTAAATACTATAAGGAAGACTCCCCGAGCAAGAGATGCTCTTAGTATCGATCTCCTCTGAAGGTACGTGTACATAATCATGACATCCCCATTGAATATGGTGGAATGAGGGTGTACTCTCCCCGTCTCAGTTTGTGTTTAGAGAAAGGAACCAAACTCTGGTGGGGTGAATTGAGATGGTTGATTGATTCATTTAATTAGAAGGCATCACGATATATATTTGATCATCATAAGTGGGTGAATTTGATTCAATAGTATCTAGTGCTAGATTGTTAGTCGGCAGATAAACAAAGGAAAAGGTTATAATGTTTGGAATCAATACCATCTTTTTGTTCTGTCTTTATTACCACTTTTTTTCTCTTTCACCAACAGATACCAGAAAAGCACAATCTACAATGATTTTTCCAGTGACCAGAAACGAGGAAAAGCAGAAGAATATAAAGTTATGAGCCATACATGGTATTTATCAGGACTGGTGACACTGAATTATGTTTCTATTGGTTGATTTTTCCACGTTCAATTGAACTTCTTTCTAGATACTACCAACCAACCCACCGTCAAGAACACTTTTAATTAACAATGAGTTTATGCTATCTGACGCAGAAGCGGCTGAATTGAAATCTAATTTGCTTATTAAAATAAGATATTGTCTCAGCAAGTAGTTTCTTTAAAATATATTATCATCAACAAACTGTCTGGCACATGTATAGATATATATTTTCTTGTTAAAGGGTGCCTATCAGTTATGCTAGCTTGAAACATTGTGACTTGAGATATGATTTCATCTTGATATAAAGTTGTCTAATCAACTTGTTTCTCGAAAATTATATTCAAGTGGGGAACAATGTGTACTAAGAAACTCATTTGTTATTACAGAAAACTCCTCATACCCATCTAATTCCTCGTTAACCACAAGAAAAGAGAGAAAGATTGTAAATCAAGCAACACTGCAGTAACATAGATGAAAAGAAATTCATCTTTTTGCTTCTTGTTTGACATGCTTGCATGTTTGGTAGTCAAAATTACCTTTGTTTTATGCAAATTATTCTGAGAACTAGTCTTTTGTAAAATATTTGTTTTTAAAAAATATAATAACTCTTAAAAGAACTCCATAAAAGGTTAAAAAAACAAAGAGTAAATAATTTTGACTTAACCAGAAAAAGGATTACTATAATATATTATATAGCTGCCTCACTTTAAAGGACAATTTAACATCTATAGATCTGTTCATTAATATATATACCAAAAATAGTTCAAGATTTAAAAATGCGGTTTCTAAACAAATAAACTGAATCTTTTTTTTTTATCCTAGAACATTTTAAACTTTTGTTTCCGTCCGTGACTTTTAATTTAAACATTCAATCTTCTTTGAACTCTTCCCTTAGTCTCTGTTGTAGAAGTCACAGCACAGGATATGATATAAGACATATGGACCACTAATGGTTTTATGTTTCATTTTTATTAGCTTATAACTAAGAGTTTTCAAACTGTAAGCACTAGATTAAAGTTCTAAAAGTCTAAGACTTAAACAATGAAGGAATGTGTAAACATGTTTATGTTGATAAATGCATGCCAATTACAATTGACCGTGTGAATACTACTATCAATCATGTTTTTTTAACAGAGATAAGACTAATGACATTATTACAACAATAAACTAGATGGAATAATTTAAGCTTTTTGACGTATGAAATGGGATATAAACTTAGAAATTGAAGGAGGAGATTGAAATAAATGGAGGGGAAAGAACATATTTCCCCTTGGCAAATACTAAGCATTCAAATATATGATTGCAAGGGCCATGATTTTATTCCAAGGAAAAAAAAAAGATGTTTTTGACTTTCTGTGTCCACTAATCTATTGATTGCTTTTGCATCTGTCTTTTCGGTTCGGTGGTCTCCTTCACCAAGCTTTTATGTCTAAAAAATATCCACTCTTTATTACCCCTTTCTCCCCTCCACCCTTTTTCTTTTATATTTTCCCGAGACACCCACCAAATCTAATCATTTCGTAAAAGCAGAATGAAAGTATGTATTGACTTTTTGAGCTTTGAACGTGTTAGTTTATATGCAGAGACAGACAGACAGTCACAAAAATATGCAGCCCACCACCACCACCACCACCACTCGTCTCTCCCTCTGCCGTCAGTCTTCATACACTACATTATACCATGCTACCCCCCTACGCATTGACAAATGGCAATAACAACCCTTCTCCTATACTAAAAATTCATTGAGGACTTTTATCAAACATTTGGCGGGCAATCCTTTACCTCCCCAAATTTCATACCCCTCAGTGGGCACTCTCCCCCTTTGCTATACAGCCAATCTAAATGCTAACAATACAGTAACAACAACGACCAATCAAAAGGCCCAGGAAGGGGTTTGATTACTTGGGTAGCTGGAATTAAGAATCCTATGACACAGAATTGAGTTTTTCAAGCACATTGGGTGTTGCTTTTTGGTTATAATCATGGCAATCATAACTATGAACCAACATTTCTAAGTTTTAATCACTCTAATAACAACCTAACTCAAAAGTATTCAGAAATTTACCTGTCGAATTCTTCTTCCTTCCCCTGCGAAAAACACTTTCCGTCTCGACAAACCCAATTAACCCGAGCTCCAAAATGATTATTCCCAGTGAATTTCCCGTCCAAGAATTTTGCTGGAATATCTTCGTCGGTTAAATTATGACCACCATTTGTCGCAATCATCTTCCTTCCATTTTTTGAACACTCTCTCTCTCTCTCAAAAAATGAAAACCCTTTTTCCCTTGATTATTCTATCAGTAATCATCAAATTTTAATTGATAGATAATAACTCCCATCATTATTCAGTTTTTTTTTCCTATTTTAAAATTATTTTAATCATTTTGCTAAAATTGTAAACATATGTGTTAAAGTGGCTTTATGAAGTTACCCCAATTAGTATTGAATTAAATTTAAATATATTTTAATTGTATTTATGACTCAATAATATTATATTACAAAGAGGAAAAGTATTCATAGAAATAATTATGATTCAAATTATCAATTTCTTTTAAGTTGGGTCATCAAATTCAATGTTTGCTTAAAAATGAAAAAGGAAACTCAATTGATAAGAGAATTATTTTTGTGATAAAAAATTAAATTAAATTAAGTCCAATCAATTTCACTTTTAATAATTAAAAATATATATTAGTTTTTTCAAGGAGGGAACTTTTTATTTGGCTTATAACATTTATTTAACTTATTGTCCCATCCCATCAACTCACTTAAATTCAATTTAAAGGAATGTCGAGTGAGTACGAGCATAGGTAGATTGGTTTGATTTTTTTTTTTTTTTTGGAGCGGGCTGAGTTGGTGACTTGAATATGACTTAATATCGAGATATCTAATTTAGAGAGGGTCAGGTTGGATTGTTCGTTTTTTTTTTTTTAATTTATATTTAATATATCTTATTTATTCATAATACATGTTGCGTTAATAACTAAAGTATTGTATAACTTAAATATCTAATATTCACGAGCAACAAGCAACAACTCATTATGAAGATTTGTTACAAACGTTATACATTCATAATATTTATAACAATCTTAAGAGTAGATTTGGATTGGGTTGTGAACTATAGTTTTTCATTGATCGAGTTGACCGGCCTAAAAAAATTATAACCTGCTACTAAACTAAAATTTTTTAATTTTTAAAGATTTAATTGAGAAAAAAAATTTAACCCAAGTTAGGTAAAACGAGTTGCTCGAGTTATCCGGTCTTAGAACACTCTTGCAATGGAAAAAAATAAAATCTAAAATTAAGAAAATTGATAAAGAAAAAATTACTTTTTTTAATGGTAATTTAAAAAAAAATTAATTGTGTTTGAACCGAACCCAAGTTGGTTAATACATATTGTTTAAGTTATTGGATCATATGAACGTTTCAACTAAAAAACAAAATCGAGAATGATGTTTATAAATATTTAAAATACAAAAACAAATGGGATAATTAAAAAAACAAATTATTTATATCAGAAAAAACATCAATATAAAGTAAGAAAAGAAAAGCATATTTTACCGTACGGTTGTTTGAGAATTAGAATAGGACATAGATGAACTCATACTTATCACCACTAATTTAAATTAAATTAAAAATATATATATAATTTTGGGGGGGGGGGGGGGGGGGGGCAGGCACGTGCAAGCTAGAAATAGCCACGTACGTAGCACGATTAATTGGCAGTTGCATGTGCCACATCACACGGTGTAGAGAGAAAAAAAAGGTTCACCGAATCATGCAGAAAACCCAGCGCCACGTATGCAGGACGACGACGCCAGCTTGGACCTTTGTCCAGGTGTCAACTTCCCAATGGCCCCTCTCAGACACATACCGAACTTCCCATGTGAATTTGCAGTCCACGACAATCCCCTTCCAATTCTATAGACGTCTCTGCTAATTAACCCCCCTAATCCCACCCTTATTATGATTTGGACATATTTTCCAAAGATTATTTAATATTTAAATTAAATTATTATACGTAACGCTATGTTTCTAGACTGGGAGGTCATATGTGGTTGACGTCTTGACACACGTCATGATCATGAAGAAAAAAAAGCATAGGTTAGTTTAATATTGATGCACATTATAAGGTTCCATGTGTACATATAATATATTTAAAGTTTGATAATTTTTGCGATATTCCATGGATTGGTCGACAGGTAAAGTCGTTGCTGTTAGGAAGCTAGGGAGGTAAAAGCGAATTTGGTCTCCTCTTTTTTGGACAGTTCTCTCATGTAACGTAAAATTACAAAGAATCCCACTTTATTTTTTATTTTTTTTGAAGGTCAATCTTCTCTTTACAATATTACAATAACATAAAATAAACATTAATTAGAAAGTCATTGAAAACGATAACTAATTTAAGTAGAAAAGAATGTTACAATCTTACTGTGAAGAGAGTAAGTCGTGAGTGACCCCTTATGTGCCAATGAGATAAGATGGTGACACAGCAATAGTGTCCAACAAACAATGGGAAGACCGAGACAAGACGAGTGTCATGATGTGATTGAGTAGATAGTGGATCATCTAAAACACCATAAAAACATGCATGGATTGATCATTTGAACATTTTAGTTCATAGATGTGGATCTCGGACCTATGACAAAGAAAAAAGAAGTGATCGAGAAGAAACTTAAACAAAAAGTAGTTAGTCTCAATTCATTTTCTCTCATCGTCATCGCCCCCTTCTCCCGACATAGCGATACTATTGTCAGGCGAGAAGGATCGTCACTTTTTTCTCCGCCGTTTAGGTGGCGCATGAGGAGAAGGTAACTCTCTCGACACTGTTAACGGTGTTGCTTTGAAAAATCCCTATCCCTTTACTTTTCAGCCGCCGTTTTCAATCCCATTTGCTCAAAGATTCCAATTCTTTCACACTCTGCCTCTGCCAACTTTAAGGGCTTACCGCTCATTGCCGCTGGCTTTCACGTTCACTGCTGTAACCTAGGTAACTTTCGTCGTAAAAACATAGTCGCTGGAGGTGGTGCGATTGGATTGAAGGAGGCGATATTGTGGCGGTTTTGACATTGTTTCTGGGTTATTTGGTAAATTTTGGTAAGAGCTTTTGATGAATATGGTAAATTTTGGCGTTGATATAACCTCTAGCAACGAGTTTCTACAGAAGCCCTTTCCAATGAACATATCTGCATCACAATTTCTTGCTCAAAATTCTTGTAGAGACAAAAAAGAAATAGAAATCTATAAAACATAAAATCAGTTTAAAGTGGTATCAAGAACTAGGACCATAGAAATGGAAGACAATAAGGGCTTTTAATGGGCCCATTTCTTTAACAAGTACCAACCCCTTTCTACACGTAAAAAATATCACAGTAGATAAGAGAGAGACAGAGAGATCTGTGGGAGGGAAATAAAATTTCAAAGGAAATAATCTAGAAAGGTGGGTTTCGGAGGGGAATTTATACAAGGAAAATCTAACCGGTCTTTACTGCTTGACCTGCATGTGAGAGAGAGAGAGAGAGAGAGGTGTTTCCATTTTTTGAGCAAGGAGAGAGAGTAGGCACAGAGATGAAGGGGTTTATAATGGAATTCAATACGCCCCTGTTCTTGGGCGTAGAATTTGGAATTTTCATTTCTTTCTATACATGACCCTCTTTTCTTTTCCTTTCTTTTGTTCTCTATTATTTTTCTTTCTTGACGCCGACTACCTTTCTCTGCAACTTTGTGGAAAAAAAAAAAAAAAACCATTTTTCTCTCTCTCTCTCTCTAGCTTGTCCTGTCCTATCATTCTCATCAATTTATAAATGTCTCAAGGTCCAACTTTCTTTCTTAAACACCCCCTATATCTTCCTCCCTTCTCACTCCCTCTTGAGCAACCAGGAGAAACCATGGAGGACTTGAGCAGTTTGTGGAGATTTCAGGAGGTGGGTCTCTCTCTCTCTCTCTCTCTCTCTTCATGTGCTAACAGTTGGTTCAGTTCATTTCTTCTTCTGGGTTTTCTCAATTTTTGAAGGCCTTTACTTTGCAATCATTGTTTGTTTGATCTTCCTCTCTCCCTCCCTCACTCTGTTTTCTGTTTTCAATGCAAAATGATCGTCTAAGGTCATCCAACTTAGATGCCATAATGATTTACTACAACACAAAGGTTTTTTTTTCCTCTCTATTCTCTTGCGGGGGAAAAGAACTACAAATGCTCTATTTGTCTTGTTCCAAGTAGCAGCAGGGGTGGGGAGTAACAGTGTTTGTGCTGTTCACATGTGTGTGCTGACCTTTTTGATCTAAGCATGTTTGGTTGCAAATGGAAAAGAATATGTCGGTATTGATGAGAATAATTCCTTATGTTATTCCTAAGGATTGATTAATGGTGCCTAATTTGCAGCATTAATTGACAACGGACTTTGAATTCCAACCTGATTCCCCAATAGTGTATCACTATCTACCCACTCTTTCTCTCTCTTATCTTGTCAATGAGCCTGTAATGGGGATTCTCTCTCTATTTAGAAGAAACTTTTTTTCTGCTGATACTGACAAATCTAGTTTGAATTTGCAGAACGTGGAGGAGTTGAAGCAGAAACTCATGCAGACGACTTTCGAACTAGAGTCCTTAAAAATGGAAGCAAATGAAGAAAGTATAAAGAACAAAGAGAAAGTGAAGAGCTTACTTCTTCTCCTGCAGGCAGCATATGAAGAAAGAGACGAAGCAAGAGATCAGCTGCAGAAACTGATGAGCAAATTTGTGCCAAGTACTACTGCAACTGAATTACCAGCCCTGCTTCTTTTCCAACCTGAAAGCCCTCTCAACATACCCACCAAAGCAAATTCAAGCATCACAGAATCAAACAGTCTCTATGAAACTTATAATCACCAATCTTATGGTTCTTCACCTGCAGATTCTTTCTTTGATGGAGTTTCATCACCAGATTTCTCTACTGCAAACATGGCTGATTCATGCAAAATGAGCTTTGTAAATCAGCCATATGTCACGGAGTATAATGCCCCGCAGCCTCTGGCCACAGGCGTGGACACTCCCAAAACAGAAAAGCCCGATCCATTTTCTGCAGTGATTGATAATCTTGTAAAGGGAAAAGCGTTACCTCAGAAAGGCAAGCTTCTGCAAGCTGTTACAGAAGCAGGACCTTTACTTCAGACGCTTCTGGTTGCTGGACCGCTTCCCCAATGGCGTAATCCTCCGCCATTGCAAGCCTTTAAGATTCCCTCTCTTCTAGTGAATGGCTGCAACACTAAGAACATCAATCAAAACCTTCCTTCAAAACCCAGTAGCCCTTCCCCAAAGCCACTGCATTCTCTTTTACACACTGAAATGTTTCGTGGATCTTCTCAAATTTGTTCAGCTTCTTCCATGTTTAGCTTCAACAGTGCCTTTCTGATGGCTCCAAATGTTAACACTCAGATTCTAGCAGCAAAGAGACAGAAAATTCAATGACCACCATTGTACAAATCAATATCTGGAGTTGGCAGTGTAAAAAATGACTTAGTAGTCTTATTGACGTGATTTGAAGTTTCAATTACATTAAAGTTAACTTCACCGATCCTCTCATGCTAATCAATCTAAACTTCAATTTTTTTCCACAGTAGAAGGAAATGACAAGAAACAAGGAAAAAAAGTTAAACGTGGGAGCAGGGCTCGTTAATTTGATTGACAAGAAACTCTAACTTCTTGCATTGTTATCTGAATATTATGTCTAGCATTCAATATCTTTGTTCGTTTTCTGCTTGAATATCATCTAAATATAATTTTGATCTGCTTGTAGATGGAGAAATTCAGGTGCAAGATTCCCCTTTCTTCTTATTTATTGACCAAAAGAATAATCATTGAAATCCTTCGCTAACCTTTATTACCTTCAAGTGCTTTCGTTTCATCTACGAGTTTGTAGTCTTACGCATCGAGTTCACCGCCACCAATTCCGGCGCCTGATTACTCTAGCTGGAGTCCGTGGTCAATTTCGATGCTCGCCACCGTATATCTCGTCTTTCAACTGTTGAACACCTAGAGAAAATTGAAACGACGTTACCTTGTCCTTTATGGTTTGATTTCCGATCGGCCTAGGTCCAATTTGTGGAAAAAACCTAACAATCCTTCTCCGCCAATCCATAGCCATGGATTGAAGGCCTCGACGATTCGTTTGCTTCCTATATCGCAGTTAAAAAAGAATGACGAACCCAAATCAACGCCAAGTATCAATACGGAATGCGCTGTTTGTTATGACGAATTCCAATAATGAAAATTAATTAAACACTAACCGAATTGCAATCATTCGTTTCATAGTTATTGAATTGGCGCCTGATTCCGTGACCATTCGATTTGCTCTCACTGCAGATCACGCGTCTTGAGTTTCTCTGACGATTGCCCTAATTCTGATTCTTCGTCGGCAATGCTGTAGACGCTCGAAAGGGAAGGCGTTATACGAGAAAGAGTAGTGCATTATCAAACACTTGGTACTCAAATTCTGCAGAGCTCGTAATCGAGAAGAGATGCATCATCAGTTCATGGAGGAGATCAACGAAACTGATGAACAGATCATTTGCAAGCCGATTTTTGAATCATTTGAAGAAGCCAGTTTAAATTGATAGAAGGCACCATCTGTGATGCAGCAGAGTCGACGGTGATTTTATTCTAAGTCTTTCATCTACCGATCCCATATCATTTGTCCAATGAAGATCTGTCGCTAAAAATACAGTATTCACGTCTCAACCTTCGAAGTTGATAAATTAATTAAAAAAAAAGGAAAAACGGATATTTTTTTCTAAAAATAAACTTTTTAAAAATTTATTAATATTTTTTTTTTAACTTTTTTTTAAAAATTAAAAAATTCCTTAGTATTATTGTTTAAAATATGCATATAAAATTATAAAATTATAAAAATAATATTAACATGTTCAATTTTTTTCAAAAAAATGTATATTGATACCTTGGAAATTATTATAAAATTTTTAATGTTATTTTTGAAAATTTACAAGTATTTTTTAAATTTGATATTTATATTTTAAAAGTTTAAAAGTTTTTTCTAAAGTAAATTTAAAAGTATTTTTTAAACACTTTAAAAGTTAATTGTTATATTTTTAATTATTGATTTAGTCTTAGTTTTTTAATTAGTTTATCCATTCCCAAATAAGGAAATTTGTTGAATTTTAATAATAAATTTTTATAAATATTAAAATTCTACCAATATCAAACAACACTAATTATTTACCTATTAAATTAACCTACCAAATTAATACGATATAAAAGTACAAAAATGACCTTTGGAATTTAGTTTTTTAAGGCAGGTTCGTTTTTATATGTTTTATTATAATTTAATCTGACTTTTAAAAATGTTCTTCTTTTAACTATATAACTCTAATTCTAATTGGCCGATCATAATATTTTAAATACAAATTGAAATTTACTCGTTTATAATATTTTATAATCTTTATTTAAATTAAAAAAAAAGTATTTTTAATTAGAAATTTTAATTCTATACATTTATTTATTTTTTATTTGAAGTTCATAAAACACAAATTTAAAAAATATTTAATTAAAAGGTCAAACTAGGAAATGCGTGCCATAAAACCCTATTGTTTCAGTTTTATTCTGAAGATCAGTGATGGGTCCCACAAAGGCATTTTAAAAAATGTAATTATTTAAAAGTTTTTAAAATTATTATTAAATTTTAACCCCAAAAAAGAAAAAAAGAAAAAACATTGAACACAGAAGCAAATAACAGAGCGAGAGAAAGACGCCGGAGAAACGATTTTCTGTAATGACCTTTTTGGGCCTTTTTTTTCCTACACGCAGTTCCCCTCGAATCTCTGTGATCCGAAATCGTCGTCCGTTGCATTAACCGGTCATCTTCAACCTCTACCCATTCTTCGCCGCGTCGACACTTTGCTCACAGGTTCAGCTCTGCATCTCTGAGCTTTACGGCTGTAATGGGTTTCTTCTTGTTGTTCTTCTTCTTCTGCTGCTGTTCCTCTTGATTTTGGAGGAATGGAATCGATGTTCGTCGAGAATCGGAAAATAAAGTAAAGTAAGTAGCAGTAAATTATTGTTCGGTTATGGCCGAACCTAGCGATAAAGATCATAAGCTATGGAAAGGGGTAGTTGCAGTAGCTGGAATCATGACTACCCTTGTCACCTATGGAGTCTTACAGGTTACTTTTACAAGATTATTTCATGTTTTTGTCTCTTTGCTTTTTCGCTGTTCTTGTAGAATCTTCTGTTATCTATCCGTCGGAAAATTTGTGTTTATGGTATCATCCCAGTTTGATATTGGATCGAATCAACACTTTTGAATGTTTTAATTCATAGATTAGCTCAAGATTTTGGGCGTTTGTGGGTATTGTTTACATTCAATCGCCTTTCGTTTTGCCTTTATCGGTTGTTGATGCATGATTTCGCTGTATCTATTCTGGTTTTAACAGTAATGTAAATAGGGAAATTTGTAGAGAAACAAGAGAGTATGAACACAGAAACCTTTTCGATTAATATCATAGTAATGTCAGACGTTAATGCCTGATTTTCTTTTGTGACACTTGAATTGGTAAGTGATTTCAAGCTCTCTTTGGCCGGGATTTGCAGGAAAAGATCATGAGAGTTCCATATGGGGAGCATAAAGATTATTTCAAGCACTCCTTGTTTCTTGTTTTTTGTAATCGTATCACTACTTCTGCAGTTTCTGCAGGTGTTTTACTGGTAAGAGCTTATAATTGGATACTTCCTGCAATTGGTTATCATGTCAAGGACTCGAACATTGCTATTAGATTCATAGTACTTCCTTTTCTGGAGTTTCTATTGATTCTCTTGATGTATATATAGGCAAGTAAAAAGACAGTGGACCCTGTCGCTCCAGTTTATACGTACTGCCTTGTTTCGATAACAAATATACTGACAACCACGTGTCAGTACGAGGTAATCTGACTTGTTAGATATGAATGTGTATATCTATATATTCATCTTCTACTGTCTAAACTGTTAATCATTGTTAGTTGATATATTATCCAGTCATATTGGTGATTTGTTCGTGGTTTTCTATAGGCGCTTAAGTATGTCAGTTTTCCAGTTCAGACTCTGGCAAAGTGTGCTAAAATGATACCTGTCATGGTGAGAGTATTTGATTTTCCTTCAGTTTGTAGTGGAGGGGCATCTTTGTTGATTGAATTGGGCAATGGATTCTAGACTGACTAATTGTTTTAATGGTATCCATTGTTATACAGGTGTGGGGCACCATCATTATGCAAAAGAAATATAAGAGTCATGATTATTTGCTGGCTGTTCTTGTGACCCTGGGTTGCTCGATATTTGTTCTCTATCCGGTAATGCTCTCGTTGTTGTCACCAGCTTTTTTGGTTCTTTTAAGAATTTGTATGAGATGGGGAATGAATTGGTCGCATCCTGCCTCGACTTTTGGTACTAACTCATGGATTAAACCACTTACTACATATATGGCAGCTAGTGTTGAAGGTTCTTATATAGTGGATCAGATATGACGATCAACTACGTTGTGAATGAGCAATTATAATACTTATGAATTATGTTTTTGTTTCTCTGTTGTTAATCCTGAAACCCTGAATCCATTAACAGACGATTCGTTACTTTTTCTCCCCAATTGTAGGCTTCAGCTGATCTTAGTCCATACGATAACGGAAGGGAAAGCACGGTTTGGGGTGTCTCACTTATGGTTGGTTATCTTGGGTAATAATTTGTAACTCATTGTATTGTTGTCGAAGGATGATAGATTATTTTTCCTTTAATTTTGCATTTTACGTTTAAAACTATCATGGAAAATGGTAGAACACTACAGAAAAACTTTAACGCTCGAGAAAATAAGCATACAGAAAGTATTTATTGGCTTCAAAAGATTTCTAATACCCAATGCATTTAACAGGTTTGATGGCTTTACAAGCACATTCCAAGATAAACTTTTCAAAGGCTATAATATGGACATACACAACCAAATTTTCTATACAACTTTGTGTTCGTGCATTCTTAGTTTGACAGGTCCGTCCCTATTCTTATTATATACCCGGTAAAAACTCACTTTTTCCTTTAATGATTCATTCCAATTGATTTGGAGGATACTTTGTGGATTGCAATGCTTCGTATTTTGCTTACTGTGGTTGAATGTTTAGAAGAAACTTCATGGGGCTACCTAGTGGTCAAGAGGTAAAAAAGGGTAAAAATTTTGGGTTCGGTTCCCTGGGTGATTTAGGAATAAGGATGTTATGCCTATGATATTGTAATCCTATTTGTCCCATGATAACCTAGACAGCTCGAAGGTGGGCTGGTTCCCTCTCGACTTTAAATCTGAGCACCCCAAAAGTCTGTTTGTACAAATGATCTAGGCTTGTATTTGAAGTTTCCCTGAGGTTGGTAAGGCGAAATGGGGCCACCCTAGCCCATTGAGTGCTTTACCTCAGGCCATCGACATCTTACGCTCTATTGAAATAGATTTCGCTGAAAACCAGCTATGTCCGATCTTGGTTGACCTTTCACCCCTAGCCACAAGTCATCCCCATATTTTGCCACGAGGGGTGTTTCCATGAGTTTAGTTGAGTATTGCGTAGCCCTACTTATGATATGAAAAAGAGGAAAAAGAATAACGTTTAGGAGAGGGAGAAAAGAGCATTAGTTATGTTGAGCGTTCATATAAGATTGACAATCAGAACTTGTTTCACAAAATTGGAACTCTCACCTTCAGATTATGAGATAATGGGGGTCCAAAGCAACACGTATACTAGGAAATGGACGTTGGGGAAGCGATGTTAGGCCGTTGGACGTTGGATTATTTCATTCTGAGATCGAAATTCTCTGCTGTGAAGGAGATTTGGCTTAATTGATCAAATCTATTCTTTTCTAACCTGCATAGTACTGTGTAGTATATAAACTGCAAAAGTTCCATTTTTTGCTCCTTGATTTCTACTTAATTGATACTCATTTCAGTCCTTTGCTTTGTAATTAGGTCTTATAATACAAGGCCATCTACTTCCTGCAATTGATTTTGTTTATGTTCACAAGGATTGTTTCTTTGACATAGCATTTCTCTCCACTGTGAGTAACCTGTTCGATTTTATGTTGTTCCTCTTCGCATTCATACTCATTTCATTTGATTGTTAAAGAGTCTTAGCTCGAATACGTGGATCATGAGCATTACTAATGTTGTCTCCCAGGTAGCAACTGCTAGTCAGTTTTTTATTTCTTACACAATTCGCACTTTCGGAGCTCTGACCTTTGCCACCATAATGACAACAAGACAGGTTAGCTCTTAAATCCTATGAACTTGTCATGTTTCTTATCATGCTGAACCATACTCTTTTTTTTGGTTGAAGTTGGTCAGCATCATGCTATCTTGTGTATGGTTTTCTCATCCTCTTAGCTGGGAACAGTGTATTGGAGCTGTAAGTCATAGTTTCAACCCTTTGTCTTCGTATTCGTCTTCGTCAACGTTTTATTGGACCTTTTTGACTCTCTCAATGACAACTTGCGTGTGTTTTTTTTTTTCAAAAATCATGTTCAGGTTTTGGTCTTTGGTTCGATATATGCTAGAAGCTTCCTGAGAAATGCACCTCAGAAACCATCAACTTCCGAAACGGTAGAGAGCCGATCTTCAAGCCCCACGACCCAATTGTCAAGCCCCGGGAATCGATCGTCAAGCCCCATGAAGGAGGGTCCATGATTGGTTGGTTTTGTGGTGCATTTACCATGTGATAGTCGTTCATAAGTTCTGGTCTGGACTGGTCCTCACTTTTATGCCTTTTGTTGCACATTTCAAAAGCCAAAGACAAGTAGAATTAGTATAGATTTGTAGGTTCCCCTCCTGAAAAATTGTTGATGGATACATGCTGAAGCCAGTTTTCATTTCCGTGTTGATTACGTTCGATACGATAAAACATATCTGTCTGTAATGACTTTTCAAGTGCTTAAAAACCGGTTTTAAGCACTTGCTAAATCATTATAAACAGACCACATGTTTCCTTTGCAGGATGGGAGTAGATTAAATTTTACGACAAGGAAAAGGAGGGGGAGACCATTGTTCCTAATTTTTCTTAAATTAAAAGATAGTAAAGTTTCAATTTATATGGGTGTAACGTTATATTTTGGATTTCTGAGCATGATAGTGCAAGTACAAATGCATTCATAACGTGGAATATGTATGCTTCTATATGTATTTTCGAAACTGTATCAGTTCAAGCTCATCTCTAGCAAATATTGTCTATTTTGGCCTATTACATATCACCGTCTCACGTTTTTTTAAAATGCGAAGAAGATTTCAAATCCTATAAGAAATGTCTCGTTCCCTTCTCTAATTTATTTGAGATCTAACAATTCACTTTACTAACATGTATGACTCTTATGAAAAATAATACTATTGAATGGGAAACAATTACTTAATACTCTAAGAAATATGATTATCATTGTTAAAACTTCAAGATAAGTTTTTTTTTTTTTAATTTTAATTTTATTATTTTAAAATTTTCAATTTAGTCCTTTATCTTTGCCAATTTTTGGTTGATGATAAAAGTTACATAAATATACATTCAATGATTTGGTAAAACTTTAGAGGGTAGGAAAAAAAATTAAAATTTTTTATCAGTATATTAATTTTTTTTTTTTTAGTGAGAAATTAACACTATCCTCTCTTCAATGACATTTTTCGTTTTTAAAATTTTTTCCATTAGATTAATTTATATAAATAATTCGCTCCTTCACCTGACGAGAATGAAATGGAAAGATTGTTATAATCTCCTCTTGTATAGGGATTATCTATAAAGCGGGTCCTTTTGAATGCATTCAGACAGAAAGGCTGACATAAGGTCTGGTCGCATCAATCAGCTCGCTTGGGAACATGTCTTCTTAGGGCTCCCCTGAAACGCTGGAAGAAGAAATTCACTGTCGAACCCTAACTTCTCTTTAATCAAAATAAAAAAATGAAAAACGCAAATGAACAAGGTGGCTGTAGTTTAGTGGTGAGAATTCCACGTTGTGGCCGTGGAGACCTGGGCTCGAATCCCAGCAGCCACATAAATTAGCTTATGCAATTTTTTAATCAAATTGTAATTAGTTAATTTTACCATATTTACTACTAAACCGTACATCAACTACGTGGCTGTAGTTTAGTGGTGAGAATTCCACGTTGTGGCCATGGAGACCTGGGCTCGAATCCCAGCAGCCACAAAAATTAGCTTATGCAATTTTTTAATCAAATTGTAATTAGTTAATTTTAGCATATTTACTACTAAACCGTACATCAACTAAGTGGCTGTAGTTTAGTGGTGAGAATTCCACGTTGTGGCCGTGGAGACCTGGGCTCGAATCCCAGCAGCCACAAAAATTTGTTTATGCAATTTTTTAATCAAATTGTAATTAGTTAATTTTAGCATATTTACTACTAAACCGTACATCAACTACGTGGCTGTAGTTTAGTGGTGAGAATTCCACGTTGTGGCCATGGAGACCTGGGCTCGAATCCCAGCAGCCACAAAAATTAGCTTATGCAATTTTTTAATCAAATTGTAATTAGTTAATTTTAGCATATTTACTACTAAACCGTACATCAACTACGTGGCTGTAGTTTAGTGGTGAGAATTCCACGTTGTGGCCATGGAGACCTGGGCTCGAATCCCAGCAGCCACAAAAATTAGCTTATGCAATTTTTTAATCAAATTGTAATTAGTTAATTTTAGCATATTTACTACTAAACCGTACATCAACTAAGTGGCTGTAGTTTAGTGGTGAGAATTCCACGTTGTGGCCGTGGAGACCTGGGCTCGAATCCCAGCAGCCACAAATTTTAGTATATTACCTATTTATTATTAATCGAAGTATTATACTAATTAGATATATTAATAGTTTTTTCCGTAAAATTGATTGCAATAATAAAGTGGCTGTAGTTTAGTGGCGAGAATTCCACAGCATTGGAGACCTTGGCTCGAATCCCAGCCGCCACAGTTTTAGTACTTTACCTATTCTTAAAATAAATTTGAGAATTTTTTTTTTAATGAAGGTTAATGGAACCGTGACGTGTAAATGGTTTTCCCTGTGCCCTAAAACAGGAAACTTAAAAGTGGAAAGGCAGAGCACGAAGAAGAAAAATGGCGCCATTAAAATCTCTGGAGCAGCTTCACCCAATCATAGACACTACTTTTCAGAGCTTTTGTGCTTCACACGGCATTTTCACTGGTATTGTCTACTTACTTCGATATGATTCCGATTCCGTATGAAGAACCCCATCATTTCTGATGGAGTGGTTCCGTTTTGTGTTTTTTTTTGCCGCTAGTGGAGGATTTCCTCATCCATGACCTCTACGTTTTAGCTGCTTTCGCCGAGCAACAGCCCGAGTCAGAGAAATTGAAGCAGGTTAATCAATTGTCACGTTGATCTTTTTTACGCTTGTGTTGTACTGATTTGTCTGAGTAAACAGGGGATTACCCAAATCCTTTCTGTAATTAATGCTGAGCGACAGCCATGGATGAACGGTTTGGAACTTTTGGAAGATGCTCGAGAAAATAAGCATTTTCTATCCACTGGTTTTGAAGGGTATTTTTACTTTTAGGCTCAATTACTTGTGTTTTGTTTGACTGCCATGAATGCCGATTCTATTTCTTTTGGATGGTTGATAAAAAAGTTTTCGTCGCGAAATACTAGGGTTGATACTTTGCTTGGAGGTGGGTTACGTGAGGGACAGTTGACGGAAATTGTTGGGCCATCTTCTTCTGGTAAAACTCAGGTGAGGTCCATTTGAACGTGATTGAAATGTTTCTTCCTGAATTTTGTTATGGAACTGTTGGATTTTTGGGTTAGAAATTTGGTTCCTAATTTCTACAATTGGGTACTTCAATTATTTCTCTCAGCCTGTTTAACATGCCACTGGTACTTCATTAGTTTGCTTTGTATATGATATGCTTTAACTTTTTTATTATGGTAAGGTTTGCCTGCGAGCTGCTTCAAATGTGGCAACGAACTACAATGCAAAGGTTTTCTACTTGGACACAGGGAATTCCTTTTCACCCCAACGCATCTCAGGCTTTGTTAATTGGAAATCCGGACCTTCCATAGCTCGGGTAACTAAAATAAGTGCTCCTGTTGGACTTGTTTTTCCTTTAAGATCGGAAAATAACCGATATCTTCGAGTCATTGTGGTTTAAGGATTATAGGACAGAGAATATCCACTTTAGCCACCCAAAATTCCAATCATATACCTTCCACCATTGTTATAGAACATGGCAACAACTCAAGTAGTTCTGGCTGGTAGCAACTTAAGCTGTTCAACAAACCAAACAATTCTTTACGATATTCGATTCTTCTAAACCTTAAACAATCTTATAATGTTATGGTGTAGGTAGTAAGGTATCCAAATATTTTGAGATTGCTGAAAGCTGAGAAGAATCAGATATTGTACTGATTTGTTTGACATTCTATATTGATATGTTGCTGAATTTCTGAGTTTCTGCTTATTGAGGATTGTTGGTGAGGAGTCCCACATCGGCTAATTACGGAGATGATCATGGGTTTATAAGTAAGGAATACATCTCCATTGGTATGAGGCCTTTTGGGGAAACCAAAAGTAAAGCCATGAGAGCTTATGCTTAAAATGGACAATATCATACCATTGTGGAGGGTCGTGATTCCTAACATGGTATCAGAGTCCTGCCATTAACTTAGTCATGTCAATAGAATCCTCAAATGTCGAACAACTATTGACATCCTCAAATGTCGAACAAAGAAGTTGTGAGCCTTGAAGGTGTAGTAAAAAAGTGACTCAAATGTCGAACAAATGGTGTACTTTGTTCGAGGGCACCAAAGAAAGGAGTTGAGCCTCAACTAAGGAGAGGCTGTTTGAGGGCTCCATAGGCCTCAGACAAGGCTCTATGGTATACTTTGTTCAAGGGGAGGATTGTTGGTGGGGAGTCCCACATCGGCTAGTTAAGGAGATGATTATGAGTTTATAAGTAAGGAATACATCTCCATTGGTATGAGACCTTTGGGAGAAACCAAAAGCAAAGTCATGAGAACTTATGCTCAAAGTGAACAATATCATACCATTGTGGAGAGTCATGATTTCTAACACTGCCCGCCGGGATTGCTTGAGTTGTTGATGGCTCTGGCTGATTTTCCGCCAACGTTCTGTGAGATTCTCCATAACAATGGCTAGAGGTTAAAGATTGCCTTCATTTCCCTTCTTTTTGGAACTTATTCAGATATTATCTATGGATTAGATTAAGATTTACAGTTCTAACTTCCAAGTTTATATTTTGTGGAAGCTCCAACTTCATTTAGTATTCTATTTGGCTCTTAAATCCATTTCGTAGACTGGGCAGAACATGCTTCAACAAGTAATGAGCAGCATTTCATGCCACTCTGTGTACGACATTTTCGCATTCTTTGATGTTCTGCATCAGCTTGAATTCAATTTGAGATCCCAGGTTCACATTAGCATGCATTAGTTGATGAATTTAACCACAGTGTAACTTTTTCAATGCCAATTAACAAACTACAATCATATCAGACGTGCAAAGGGGATCGAAGAGTGCAGTTACTGATAGTAGATTCGATTTCTTCACTAATTACACCTATCCTTGGTGGAAGTAGTTCACAGGGTACGCATGATTGGATGTAGATCACTGTACATCCTTTGTATATGCATAATTTGTCAAGCTTGATTGAAAGTACATGTGCAATTTTTTAGGTTCTTTAGACAATACAAAGACATGGCAATGTTACTCAGCAAAGGAATTCTGTGTATTACATATATATGTGCTTAGGCAAGATATTTCTGATGGTTTATTCATGACTATGATAATAGTTGTCATATGTGTAGTGATTCGATCTTGAACATTTGTTTCTTTGTTCGCTTGGGTTGTCATTTCAGAGTTTATTCACTTGTACGTACAATTCTATGGTTTTAACAGGATGGTTATTAATTTAATGTTGCTGAAGTAGATGCATTAAAAAGAATTTTATATGTAAGACTTAAATACACAAGGAAAGAAGGTTCATCCTTGATGCGTATGTACAGGACATGCTTTGATGGTATCTGCTGGATCGCTATTGAAGAAAATAGCTCATGAATATAATATTGCAGTACTAGTAAGT